ATAGCCGAAGATAAAAGTTATATAATTTTGATTAGCCGAATTATATACTTTTTTGATGAATGATTGACGAGTGGCATAATGCTGAATAAATCTATTTCGATTAGTGTTAGTAATTACTTTCTTAATATCTGATGTCTTTTTTTAGATTTTTGTATTAGTTTTATTTCAATTCAGTAACTAATCAATTTAATACTGCTTATTTTGAAAAGAGATTTGACAGTAAGGTTCACTTTGTACAAAGTTATATAGATTGCTGTTCAGATAGTAAACATAAGTTATAAGTTTACTTTAAATTTTCTTGAGTATCATTTAAACAAATAAGAAATTAAATAATTAGTTCAACTGCAAGTAATGATAAAAATATTTATTTCTAATAGAGCAAGCAAATATCATATAGCTTTATTCATCATATAAAGGATATTATCTTTAATGTATCTTTTTATTTTTCTTTAATCTTTTTTCAATAAAAATAAAGCAATTAATAAATATATCAGTAATATGATAATAAGTAAGACTTTGGCATGTTTATATCAATTTCTATTTAATAAGAAAAAGTTGATAGCAACAATTAAGATATAAAGAAATCCTTATATAATTTAATATATATAAGGACAATTAATATTATAATATAGTTCATATATAGTAATATATACAAATATATGTAGATATTAATCTTAATAAAGTTTACTAAGCAAGATCTATATTAGTATTTAAAAAAAAATATTAATTCTTTTTAAACAGATGCTTTTAAAATTTTTTTTTGATTTTCAATAATAAAATCTAAATACTTTCTTTAATAATATATATTTCTAAAAGCAAAAATATTTTTTACTTGTTTACTTTTCCTTCTTCAAAACTTTTTGAATATCCCAGTAATAAAATATCAAACTTTATTTATTTGATTTATAGTAAAAATATTCTATTAGAAAGAAGAAACTTATTGAAAAAATATTTTTTTTTACTTTTTTTTAAAATTTGACATTTTAAAAACGTTTATTAGTAAATATCTTTTTTAAGCTCTATAAGAATCTTGTATTTATTATAAATAAACATTTTTGCTAGAGATAAGTTTGTAAATACAAATATATAATCCTTTCTAGTAATCAAATATTCATAGCAGCTCTCTCAAATTACTAACAAATTTTTAGAAATTTTTAAGGAATTTTGCTTATCTTAGTTTAATCTTGAATTTTTTATTGTATTAGAATCTTCAGTTGGTAATTGGTTGAAATTTTGACTAATTAATATATAGTAAAAAGATAAACAAAACATATATTTCTTATATATTTCTGTTATATAATACAATAATAATAATATAATTGATAAAAGCAAAAAAGCAGAAAAGCAAAGTGTCATGATATTTTCTTAAATAAAGATAGTTTAATATCTTTTTTCTTCTCTCTTGAATTAATTCTTTTCTCTTTAAAATTAAAAGAAGTCTCATTTCAATTCAGTAACAAGTTTTTTTTATTGATAATTATTTTAAAAAGACATTAAACATTTAGATTATAAGATTTTTAAGCAATAATTTCTATTGTAAGTTTTGTTATAAGTATTTTGTATTTTTATGATCATTAATGAAATAGTAAAAATTAAATAGTTTGCTCAGCTACAAGTGGTAATAAAGAATTTATTCCAATAAATCAAAGTTAATATTGAAGAGTTTTTATTTATCAAAACAAATTTTTCAACTACTTTTTTTTTTTTTCTTTATTTTCTCAAAAAATAATTTTTTTTTATCTTTTAGAACTATAGGTTTATATTGAGGTGACAGTTTAAATATAGACTGGCTATGATTTTTTTCAAGATCAAAAAACAGTTTTGAAAAAAAATGATTTTATTATTCACTATAATTATATTTAAAGAATTAGGATTTGAAAAGTTTAAGATAATTAATATTATGCAGTACCAATTTAATGAATTAACTTTCTTGTAATGAAATAGTTAGTAAATAGTTAAATTATATAGATAACACAATGGTTTTGGTATTAAGAATTCTAGAATCATATACAAATTTAAAAATAACTTATTAATAAATATTTTGCAATATGCACAGTTTAGTTCTAATATAAAACCTTAGAATTTAATATATTATTGTATTTATAAATTAATTAATAAACAAGAATTGTATTCTGATTAGAGGCAAATATATATATATATATATTTATTAATTTATTAATAATATCTCCAGTATTATAAATAAAAAATTTTTAATTTACTAAATAAATCAAAAAAGTGATCTATTAGGTTTTTTAATATTGAATAATATAAGAAACTTGTTAAATAGGATTTGACATATTTTTTATACTTATATTTTTATTTCAAAAATATATTAGGTGATTAAAAAATAACAATAAATCATATGGTAAAAATCAGTATTATATTATTTCTGATCAATTTAACAATTATTTTTTATTATGGTTTTAAATTAATATTCACATATTCAATGATGTATGCTAGTATTCAAACCAAACCAAACAATAATTTTTTTATTTATGATTATTATAATTTGTCAAAAAATCAAAAATCAACAATTGAGTGATTACACACCAAATATGATATGATAACATATAAACCAATGAAATTTTGACGTGATAATTTTTAACTATTGCTTTAACAACAAGTTCTAAACACAATTAAACAAACAAAACGTAAATTTAATTGCAAAACTTGGATCGTTGCCAAAAAAATTTTTTTAGATTGTTTAACTCGATTAATAACGAGTTAAGATATTTGAAGAATGCATAAACTTTTTTTCAAAAATACAACCAATGGACGGTTCATTCTGGAATTTTCAACTATCTATCCTCTTGGGATATTTACTAGTCATGCTATTACTATTATCTTTGGCCACCAGTGTCCTCGAACTTTTTTTTTGTTATTTGAGGTTGAGAAAATTTTGGATTTTCTTTAAGCACAGCCCCCGTTTGCCTTTACGCACAGCCATTTTCTAACCTTTACTGTCGCCAATGGAACGTTTCCTGATTCCATTCTTGTTCTACTAGTAGAACTAGAGTTGATCGAAGAAAGCCCCAAATAATCGATCGAAAATTAATCAAGCCTCAAATGAAGGGAAGCCACAAGTTAATCGAAGAAAGCCACAAGAGAATCCAAATAATGAATTGAAGAGATACAATTTATTAAAAAGTAAAAATAACGTACCAAAGCGATTTATTTAACTTGATCTTTTTAATATTTAATATTGACGATTATTTTTATTTGTGCGATTCTGTGTATATATTCATTTTTTGCGAATCTTTTTTAATCATAATCTATGAACGGATTCAAGAATAGTTTGTTGACAAAGGTAAGACTCGCAATTTGTAACAAAGGCGCGTCAAGAAGTGTCTTCGAAAAAAAATCATTTTCGCTTAATCTCTGTTATTTGTTATTCGAAAAAGTGGCACCGAATAACTTCATACAACACGAAATACTTTCTCCTAATATCTTTGTTACAAGCCATTGTCCTAATTTGTCTTCAGTTAAAGATTCTCCTTCGGAATGTCCACATGCACCATCAATGGGAAATGAATTTGAAAAATAATGGAAGCATCGCTATATCATGTGGAATCAGCACAGCTGAGAAGAAGGTAACCTTGTTTATGGCGGAAAATGTAATCTTCATATTGTATCAAGCATTCCAATTTTACCTTTGTTTAAATGCGGTGAGCGTCTTTTTTTTATTTTGTTCGTGAATCAAACAACTATTTTTTATTAATTGTCTCAATTTCATTTCCTAGGCTCTTAGTTTGAACATGATTCAAATAACCACAGTGGTCATACTCGATCTCGGTGCCACATTTTACACACTTGTGAGCATTCACGGACAAATAAGTTTATTACAATACATTAACAACTGTTTTACCCTTATAGTTTCATGATGGACTTTATTTTTAGGTTCAGCAAATACAGATTGACACGAATCTGAATTTAATACAAACCGCATGTCTGGGTTATTTCTACATAGAACCAAAATATATACAGAATGAATATTTATACTTCGCATTCTCGTTGGCATTCTCAATCGCAATTTCTGGAATTTCACTGAAACTTTACAATCAACTGAGATCTGTGACGTATAAAAACGCAAATATTGATTCAAAGACCCAGGGTAAATTGGATAATGTTTAGTTTCCTCTGTTTCTGAGTCAGTAATTTAGTCTGCAACTTTTTTTTCGTACCGTCAAATCTAGCAATATATAGGACAACACTATTTCTCGAAATGCTGCTAAAAGTGGACTTTTTCTTGATAGTCACATACGCTTTCCTCACCTTTTCAGCCATGCCCATAATCTGGAACGGATCGTTGATCGTTCGAATAATGTTTATCGTTCATTCGATAATGCTGGTCGTGGCCATTTTCTTAGAAATTCTAGTGTATTATTCGGTAATTCTTTTTTTTATTTCAGTTTCATTAAATTTCCACCTTAACGATCTCATTCTTGATTCTACGAAATTCGTTAGCTCAACAAAGAATGGAAAATCGGAATGTACATATTCTTTGCATTATGGTCTCTGTGTGGGGTAGAATTTACTCTTTTCATTGATAACGGTATTACTCTTGCTAAACGAGGGTGGTGCCTTTTGATATCATTAAGTAAGCCTATTTATATGCACATAATTGAAATTCTCGAATAAAATCTAATGATTTGCATCCTTTTCCTCAACCATTACACGATGTCAGTTTTCCTCATTTTGCTGTTTTTCGTGGTAAGCACGCATCTATTATTGACATCATGTACCATAACGTTTCGTTAACTCGATTACTGAAATTTTTTGCTATCTACACCTCAAGCTCACATTTTGGTATACTGTAAAGGCTTTAAATAACTTTGGCATTGGATTTAAAGAGATTTGTAAGTATTTTATGATCAGTTATTCACTATTCAATCTCCATTCTGGCTACTAATATCTGACCAATAATATCGTCTTCACTCTTCAAATCTATACATCCAATCATTTTATTACATTAATTCACAGTTAACAAAGAATATCGTGAAAATGCCGAAAAACTCTTGATCATGAATCCAAAATAAGTCTTGGGTTCATATTTTGTTCATTGAATAGATATTTCATATGAACAGATGATGTCCCTTGAACAGATCTCCAGAGGGTCATTAACACAATAAATATTCTTTTTTTTAAGAAAGTAAGAAAGAAAAAGAAAAGTCTAACTTTAATTTGTGCACAAGTGCACACTTTTGTTTAAAAAACAGAGTAGCGAGCGGTGTAAGTTTGTTCTCCGATCTTTTACTTTAGAAGTCAGTGGTATACAAATCATTAAAAAGATAAAATTAACCCTTTGATTCCATTAGTTGATTAATATTTCCTTTACCTGACCATACATTCTTTTTAATCATGCAAGAAGTTGGTCTAAGAATGCTGTCTAGTAAGTAATCTTGCACAGGATTTTTTTTTTTTTTTTTAAAAAAAAAAAAAAAGCTGTGCTTATGGAAAATAATGACATTGAAAGTCATTTCAATTTATGTGATTCTAATCATAAAGAAACGATCTTTGATGAAATAAATTCTAAACCTTCTATATAAAAAGTTTTCTGGCAAAGGATGAATATATATAGCGAGAAATCATTATTTACGGGTCACATTTATCCAGTCCTTACCATCATTTCCAAAACTGTCCTGCCCTGGATTTTACTTTTAATTCGTATTTTTATTTATCATTCTTTGACTCCGCCTGAGATTTGTAGTAATAGAAGAAATGGTCTCGGTCGTTTTCTTCTTTCTTTTCAAAAACACTTGAAATTATGAAAGAAAGACAACAGTTCCAACGTTACATGTAGTTCACGTAAAACGATCAAACATCTTTCACTCCCCCCCCCCCACAAAAACAAGACAATGACAGTAAGTCATTGAAATTCGTAATACTACAGATCGTACTTACATTTTTTGGAATCTTCATCTTCGTTCAATCCCATCAATGTATAAATCGCACGTTTATTATACACTTTTGGTGGCTCAATCATGAGTTTTAAACCTGGAGCTGATTTATTGAGTTCCTTGGTAAGATCCTCAAATGCATTATATGCATCAAGAACCTTCTGATCGAATATATCGAGTAATGATTGAAACTATGATTGACATGTGCATATTTGTGGCAAAAAATTTTTGAAGTTTCAACAACAAATAATATTGTTCCACCAAAACAGGATAATATTTATATGGGTAATTATTTTTGAAGGCGACAAAAATGCTAGATGTGATTTTTTCGGACCCAACTTTTAAACAATACATATATAATATAAATTTTAGGATCACGTCAAAAAATTTCCGGTCCGCCTTCGAAAATAATTACCCATATTAGGTGTATGTAATTGATAAATACTTCTCGTTTTTTCTCCAACATTTTGTCAGAGTAATCCGATTCATCCAACATCCTTGACTCTTCCGACTCTTTTGCCTCTTCGTTTTCTATGTTCCTCTTCTTTCTGGGTGTCGAAGGCCCAGCTACCGCAGCAGAGGATTCATAATAATCAACTTTCTTCCTCTCAACCTTCGTCACCTTCTGTTTTTTCGATTTAACAGTATTTTCGTTGACCGATGACGATGATTTGTCTATTTCTTTGCTCTTACTAATGCTAGGCTTTTTCACCGATTTTTTAAACGCTTTCTGTTGTTTAGCGTTTACAGCCGTTTTTCTTTGTTTCGTGGGATTTGACCTAATGGCCGTTTGTTTTGTCTTGGAAGTTGATTTTGGAACTGCATTGTTAGCACCGATTTCTATTCCACCGTCTGACCCATCTGGGTTCGTATCATTGATGGTTCCCACAAATTTCGGTCCAACAGGTTTTTCAACGACGGGCTTAGCTGCTGGTAATTTTGAAAGCCAATCGTGAATTGATGCTATTTGAGGTTCTAATTTGATTTTGCTTGGAAGGTTCTGAAAGTGTGTTTTTTGTTTATCCGGATGTTCTACTTGTGATTGATTTTTCCTTGGCAACTCTTGCGCAAATAAGGTAAGTTCTTCTATGGGTTCTTGTTTAATAGGTGGATTACTTTCTTCCATAATATATGCTGAATGTAAAATGTAGAGGAAACAAGTGAATGAATTGCACACGTATTCGCATGCGGTAATTTAACATGATCGACATTTGATTATCGTGATCGGCACCTATCATGCATAATTTATCGCGACTTTATTAAAAATGTTTATACATATATTAGAAAACAATGTTTCAAACAAAGATTTAGGAAACAATGATGATCAAAGAATTCGCCCGTAAAGCAGGTTGGAATCCATTGGATTGTGAAATGGATAAGACACATCCCGCCTAATGACCCTAATGAATCTTCCAGCTTTCTTCAACTTTTCATCACTAAACTTTGATGGTTTCACCCACTTATTTCTCGTTGCCCACCTGTCGTATTCCACTATTTCCAAACTTCCAAAATATTCTGCGTATTTCATTAATATATGCAAGTGTTCGTCGTTAATCCCTCTCCTATCGTTCAACCCCAATCTCTTGAAGTTTACATGGTCACACTTGTTCAAAAAATTGGATAATTGAGTTGGTGTGATCAACGAGTCAATATCCAAGTGCACAAGGGAATTCGGAAAATGGGTGCATAAATCCTTGATGAAGGTACCAATATTGTTTTCATTAAGTCTCAAGATTAAGCACTCCAGCTTTGAAATCTCTAACCACTCTTGGAATTCCTTGAACATAATATCACTTTGTCCTCCGCACACTGCCAGGGAAGTGATCATCGGTGAAATCTCGATCATTGATGAAAGCAATGCCCGCATCTGAAGACTACAAGCCATATCTATGATGAGTTCTTTTAAGGATCGGGATGTCATCTGAAATATTTCTCTGAGGCCGGTAAGATCGACGTAAAAAAAAGCTCTATTATCTATGATATGCAATTTCCTCAAGTTAACGAATTGATGATCAATTGGAGGCTCGTCGGAGGGGATGAATTCGTCTACTGGAACATCCAGGCAGTTTACAAGCACCAGAGTTTCCAAATTTTGACAGGTTGTGAGCAACACTAACGATTTTGGTTGAAGACTTATCATTTCCAATCCCAGCCATGTTAGGGTCGTCGTTGCCGTGGTTGACAATACTCTAAGAATTGGTTTGACTATATTCGAATCTCGCAATGATAATTGCCGAAGATTACTCTGCGCTTTTATCAATCTTACAAATTCCGGCACGTAATCACAAAAATGAATTATATCCATGCACTGAATTTTATTAACCGAGGTTTCCGTGGATTTCAATAATTCGATAAGTTGATTGCTCGTCGCTTCGGAACTTACAAAAAATATGCCTGTGGACAGAGACGTGATGTTTTCTCCGATAAACTTGAATCTCGAAAATGATTGAAACTCTGGTAAAAAGGTGCACGCCGAGTCTAAAGAAATGTCCACATGTTTTAAACAAGCTGAGTTAAATATGAGCTGCGACATTTCGGTCATCAAAATTTCAAAATTACGTGGCAATCCAAATCGACTTATTCCATCTAATTTCTGATTCTGAGTGTACCACCAAAAAACCATATTCTCAAATGGATTCAACGAAAACTCCTTAAGGTAACATTGGTATGGAAACAAAGGAGTCGACATATTATCGGGTAAGATAATGCCCGCCTGTTTTAATACTTCCCTCCTAGAGGGGTCGAGGCATGACACATATGTTGTAATCAATTTATGATTCCCGAAGGAAGTGCAAAATTTAAATGGTGCTCTCCACAATATTTGAACCATCAATCGACACATTCTTCGACTAATAAATAAACAAGCATATTTTGTACCGAGGTTCAAATACTCAAATATGTTATTGATGACTTCGTCCGGAAGATACGGAACATCCTTCACCTCTTCAACATGCTTGAACCTTTGCTGAAGTCGAATTGACCTTCGGGATGCAATTTCCGAAGTAATGTTTCCTTCATTTCGAATTCTTTTATTCGATTTCCATGTCATTTCAGCCGTATTTATCGAATCCAAGTAATCGAACACTTGAAACCAATTTAGAATGCAAGTCTCATACTTGATGATCAAGCCACACTTATAATCTATTAATGTAAGCACATGCGTAATAAATATGACGTAATATAAGACATCGAATGAAAAAAACAGCATGGCGAAGCCTTCACCCGGACAGATAAGATCAATACACGCCTTCCCTCGACCTACCTCTCTACCTACAACCTCAACCTTCCGAAAATCAATTTTTAGAATGATTGCATTGAAAACTTTTTTTTAATATTCATTACGCTTAGAAGGAATGCCCTTTTTTCTTATCGAATACCGTGTGCGTGTGGATATTCAAGAAGGTTCCTGCACTGAAATCAATGACATGATGTTCATCGCTACATGGATGACCCATAATGCCTCCTCATTTGCTTTAGCGCCTCCAAAAAGTCGGTCACATGCTGCTTATTACCAGCATTCATTCATTGATTCACAAATAAAGAATTCGATATTTTAAGGGAGCCGAATTTATTTTCGACATTCGAACAAAATTTATATAACGAATATGGATTTTACATTCGATCACTCAAATCTAAATATACTGTAATTCTTATCAAGCAATTATATCTATATGGTATACTCAAGAATATTCTGTACGTCGTAAGATTTATAAATATTATAAATGGTTATATATGCAAATTGCATGATAGCTAAAGACATTATGGCATCCGTCTTAAGTATAATGTCTTTGAACATGATTTTATTCAAAGCAACATATCGTATAAATCTTTTAATTCAAATCATTTTAAAAAATGAAGAAAATTATTTATTTGCGCTTTTGAATTATTTGATAAATTTAATCATAATACTGTGGAGTGTAATGTGTTCGTCCGTCACATGATGTAATTAGCGTAATTAATATACGTATTTTTTCAAGCATCAGAATTTTGTTTCATGGTTTCCATTTTCTAGTTTATAATTATTTACAATTAATAAAAACAAATAAAAAATCATTATTAATTTACTGTATATTGAAATTAACTATTATTTAAAATTTTTTGCAAAATTTGATAATTTTAATACACACTGTATATAGGCTAATCCAATGTTTTATCATAGCAAAATTACATCATTTTTTTATTAATTAAAATAATACAAAGTTATTTTTTTTTATTTTTTTTTTGATAAGCATTAAATACAAAAGGTTTTTATTAAACTTTTGTAAAACAAAGGTTTTTTTATTTTTATATATTTTTCATTTTAAAATAATCTTAATACTTAATTTATCACAAGTATAAAATTTTCAATTTGTTTTAAAATAATAATTAATCATTTTTTTTTTTTTAATTTAACAAACAAAAAAAATTTTTATATGCTATTAGGTCTAGACTATATATACTGTATATAATTTATTTTATTGCTAACACAATTATGAAATTTTTTTGTAATGATACAATTAAGTAATATATATCACAATTGAAATGCAATTATATAATTCTGTTTTTTTTTTTTTTTTTTTTTTTGTGTAAAAAAGAAAAAAAAAGTGCGTTTCATGAATTGAATTTCAAAAAACTTAATAGGACATATAAAGATGACAAA